AGTTTGGAGGGTGGAGGGTGGTTTGGGTTGCATTTGGGGGACAGCACAGGGGACGTCGTTAGGGGAATTATAGAGGTGAGATGATGGCTTAGAGAAAACAGTTTGGGGTACTGTTTTGGAGTATGGTTAGGTGACTTGGGGTAAGGACTGCCCGTCCGCTCACCGAGGGGCGTGGCCTCAGCGGGGAAGGGCTCTGCCGCCCCGACAGAACGTGTGCGCATGCGTTCCAAACTGGTTCGCTCCTGGCGATCCTAAGGCTGGAAAAAAAATTAAAAAATCGAAGACCCGAGTTGGCGCCTGCGCACCTCCTCTCCGGCGTTGCTGTGGTCTCGCGCCCCCACCCCGTCCCCCCCACCCCAGGCTGGAGCTCAGCAGCGGAGGTGGCCGTGCCTCCGCAAGCGGACCGACCCGACCTAAAGGTGGGGGGCGGGGGTCCATCGCCCACTGTGGGGCTGACGCTCCTCTCTCACCCTTTGGCGCTCCCCCCCCCCGTTCGCTCCCCACGGCTAACAGTCGCGGGGCCGAACGCGGCCCACTGGCAGGGCGCGGAGGGGGAGGAGGCGCGCGCCCCGGGCACGAGCAGGGCGCCAGGAGGGAGGGGTGCGCCCGCCCACTGCCCTGCCGGCCTGCACCGACCCCACTCGCCTCTCGCGCCGGGACCCTCGGTGAGTACCATCGCCTGCCAGGGGGAGAAGGGAGGGAACAGGGCGGGATGAGGGCCCGGAAACGCCGAAGAGGATGTACCTCGCGTGCACCTGAGACCTCTGACCCCAAGGCTTCATCCCTGACCCCTGTCTGACCTGGCCACATCTTTTTAAACCCCAAACTCCTGCCAGCCTTTGCTTTAGGACCTTCAGTCCGACCCTGACCTAGTCGAATTCTGGCCTGATGTAGTTCTCACCCTCTGTTTTGTCCCCCTGAACCCAGTCCCGATCCCCAAACCCACCCAGCTCTGTCCTCAAGGTCCTTGCCCAAACCCCAGATCCTTTCCTGACCCTGTCCCATCTGTGCAGCTCACCTTGCTCTGTCCCGGTGCCCAACACTGACTGCAATTTCTGTCCTGATGCTTGATGTCTGTTCCCACAATGCTTCAGTCTCTGAACTCCTTTCGCTTGTGTCCTGTCCCCCTAACCCAAGTCTGATGCAGTTCTGTCCTGATTCCTGATCTGTTCTTTACTTTCTCTACGTCTCTCTCTCAACTCCTGGTCTCCATCCTGGCTCTCCATCTTTAAACTGCCCTGTCTCCTGTCCTGTCCCTATCTCAATCTTGTCCTGTTTTTCCCTCTTTTCTTGTCTCATCACCACCTCATTCCTGTCTTCTGTCCTGGTCTTTTCCTGTTCCTGACCTCCAACCTGCACCTCCCCTTTTACCTGTCCTCTGCCTTGATCACTGGGTTGGCCAGGAGTCATATCTCTTGGCTATTGGTCTCTACTGGCCCTGACCTCTGCCCTGCTGTTTTGCCTCCTTATTGTGCTTTTAGTCTTGTCCCAAACCTCACTTTATTTCACCCTCTGGCCAGCATCCTGGCTCATTCCATCTGGCCTCTTGTCCTCCATCCTATAATGACTTTCTGTTTTATTCCTTGCACTCCTTCCTGTCTTTTCCTTTCATCCTATCCCATTTCAACCCCAGACCTCTGTTCTACCCCTTAGTTTGCCCTTCCAGCCTGTTTGGACTTTTCTCCTTCCCCAAACCCACTTCCCATCCCTTCTGACTCCAATACAGGGGTCCCATTATACCCTGCTCTGTTCCCAGGGCTTCAGAAGTACATCGCAAATGCTTCACTTGACAAACACAAGCAGCCTGTGAGCCCTATGTGGCTGATGGAATCTTTCCTTCCCTACTCTCACCCTAGTGATCTCACTTAGAGCTTACATTTCTCTTCTTGCCCCAGGAGAGCATGGAAATGTTCCTGTACCCCCTGCCCTCCCCCAAGTGAAAGAACACCTTAAATTATTCAGTGACTCTCTGGGACTCTGAGCGTCTGGGTCATGTTTCCATCCATACATTCCATGTAATCCCTTTCTGCACTGGGGGCTGTACCATGTTGGGGGAGGTGGGGAAGTTGAGGGTAGGGATATGTAGGAATTTTCTAGGACATGTTACTTTTTACCTTTGATCTTGGTCCTGGGTGTGTAATCCTGGGTTTCCTGGCCTGAAAAATGTCTATTCTAGACCAGAGGCTTCAGGACTTGTAGTGGTGGGACGCAGGCTAGGGTTTGTTCCTCTTCTAGCAGTAAGCAATAAATATTTTGGTGCTAAGTCTACCCCACCTCTGTGAGACTGGTCTGTGTATGTGTTGGGGGAGGGATACAGGCTGTCACTGGATGTAAGAATCAGGCCAATCCAGCTAGATGTGGTGGCTCCCACCTCTAGTCCCAGCTCCTGAGGAGGCTGAGGCAGTAGGATTGTTTGAGTCCAGGAATTTGAGGCCAATCTGGTAACACAGCAAGACCTTGTCTTAAAAAAAAAACAAAAACAGGTTCATTTAGTTGTAACAATAATATCAATAATATGAGATTCTCTTTCTCTCTGAATCTTTGTGATTCTGAGGATGGAGGAGAATTTGGATAGCAATAGGGTAATGTGTTATTCAATTATATTTTGTTCCTGCACTTCTCATAGCGTGTTAAGTTTGAATAATGAATATCAGACCTATCTTATTTACCCAAAACCTATTCCAGACAACGCAGGGATTCCTCATTGCCCCATCCTGTTTGGTACCTGAGTTCTTTAAGAAGGAGACCTCTGGAAGTTCAGACAGTGAAACAACCAAGTTATCTGAAGAGACTTCATTTTCACATTTTACATAGTAAAGAGGGAAAATTCAGATAATTAGGGATGACTAAAAATATATATATCCAGGAGCTGGGGATATAGCTCAGTATTAGAGCACCTGCCTGACATGCACAAGGCTCTGGGTTCCATTGTCAGCATCGTACAAAAGAAATCAGTTCCTGTATTTGGACTGTGAGTGTCCCGACAATTTATCTGAATGTATTTGGTTCCTGCGATTTTTTTCTTTTTTCTTTCTTTCTTTTTTTTTTTTTGGTACTAGGGATCGAACTCGGGACCTTGCGCTTTCGAGGCAGGTGGCGTGGTTCCTCTATTTTTAATATTGATTGGGAAGAGGTTAGAGAATGAGGGAAAACAGCTTTGTTTCAAATATGTCTTGGGCTGGGGATTTAGCTCAGTGGTTCTGCCTCCTGCCTCAAAAGCCCAAGGACCCGAGGACCCGAGTTCGATCCCCGGTACCAAAAAAAAAAAAAAAAATCAAATAAGTCTGGTTTGGTAAGTAGTGAAGGTTTGGAGGCTGACTGATACCAGCTCTATCTCAGATGGATCTGAATACATTTGATTTCTGATTTTGGATAGGGACAGACAAGTTATCTGAAGGAAAACAGTTCTATTTCAAATTTATCTGGTGAGGCTGAAAAATACCACTTCTGTGAAAAAAAATAATCTGAAGGGATCTGTTTAATTATTGGGTTTATGGAGAGAAATATTTATAATTATGACAGCCAGCACACTAAGCACTTACTGCCTGCCACGAAGTTCTAAGCAAGCAAGCTTTAAATGTATTAACTCATTTAGGCTCGTATCAGCCTTGTGAGTTACATTGTTATCATGCCCATTTAGCAGGTGCGGATATTTTGGCACAGAGTGGTTAAGTGACTCGTCCAAGCACTCACATAGCCAATAAATGACAGAGCGAGGTCAAATCCCAGACCTACCATTTACTAGCTGTTTAAGGACCATGTGTGGCTCAGGACCTGCTGAAGTGGAGTTTAGAAGTTAGGCAATCTTCCATGCTATTAAAAGTCATGACTAGCCAGGCGTGGTGGTGCATGCCTGTAACCCTAGCATTCAGGAGGTGGAGGTAGGAGGACCACTGTGAGTTTGAGGCCAGCCTGTGCTATGTAGTGAGCTCCAGGCCAGTCTGAACTACATTATGAGACCCTGTCTGAAAAAAAAAAAGTCATGGACTAAAGCTCAGTGCAGTACAGGCCTGTAATCCCTGGGAGGCTGAGGCAGGAGGATTGCTGTGACTTTGAAGCTAGCTTGGGCTACAGAGTGAGTTCAAGGCCAGCCTGGACTACATAGTGAGAATCTGTCTTGAAGAACCAAAAACAAAACCCCCAAAACTTAGTGACTGTCTCAGTTACTCTTCTCATTTCTGAGCCAAAATACCTGATACTCAAAGTTAAGAGGGAAAAGGTTTATTTTGGCCCAGAGATTATAGAGGTTTCAGTCCATAGTAAGCTAGCTCCAAGCCAGGGTGGCATGGCAGAGGTGCATTGCAGAGCAGAAACAGTCCATGGCAGGGCAGGTATGCAGAAGGCAGCAAAGCAGAGAAGTAGCAGCAGCAACCAAGCCTGCCTTTATATTTCATCCAGGCTACTTGCCCTTTGGGTGGTGCCACCCACACCCAGGGTGGGGCAGCCTTAATCCCAGCATCACACACCCTAGATCCAGCCACCTACAAAAAACCCCACCCATGACCACATGAGGCTTTGGGGGGACACAAGCCATAACAATGACTTAGCAAGATCTTATCTCAAAATAAAAAAAGAACTGGGGACTTGGTTGCTTGGTACCAAAAAAAAATCATGGGCCAGGACAGTGATGTGTAGGTGATTCTAATCAACTTGTCTGCCTGGCCCAGGAGGTACAGCTACCTGCTCTCCGCCACTTCCCCCCACACTGGGCCACCTCTGTGTGGGCTGTTATTTTTATTAACAGTCATTAATGACATGGTGTGAGTTTCCTTGCACTTTGAAATTCTTTCCAGAGTTGAGTTCTTTTGGCCTCTCTTGTCTCTGGAACCACCTTTTACACAATGTTACAGATGAGAGAACCTAAGTTTTGAGACTCAATTTGCATTACTAGTCAGATCCTTCTGTCCCTCCTGGCTCTTATTTTTATAAACTTTCCTCTTTCCAACATTCTTGGGTTTTTTGTCTTTTGTTTTTTGAGACAGGGTTTCACTATGTAGTTTAGGCTGGCCTTGAACTCTTGGGGATCCACCTGCCTCAGCCTACTGAGTGCTGGGATTACAGGTTCACAGCACCATGACCAGCTTTTCTGGGGGGAGAGGATCTTTCCAACATTCTTGGTGGCCCACAAGAGGTTGGAGAAGCCATGGCTAAGAGGACACTTTCCACCATCACCCCTCTGGGAGGACCTCCACCAGCCCTGGGCAATCCAGCAGAGGCTGAGAGGGAGGTAATGAAAGGGCCCTTTGTGTCCCACACTGGAAATCTCATCCCCAAGAAGAAAGGTGATGATGGGAAGCCTTAATAGCTATGTGATAGGGAGCTCCACTCCAGGCTAGGCCAACCTGCCAAGTAGAGAGGAAGCATTCCTCACACTCCCGTTCACCTCATGGCAGGGCTGCAGGGGTTGCCTGGGGTATACTTGGGCCCTAAGGTCACAGAGCAGATGGTCCCACATAGATCACAGAATGTGGTGTATCCTGGGACAGGCCCAGAGCCCAGATGGTCTTATACGGGTAGTAGTACCTTGTGAGGATGCAGAGCCCTCAATTTCCTGCCATGAAGCCTGACTTCTGGCCAGAAAGGTTGAGGGGGGAAGGTACAGGAGACCCAGCAAGGGTATGTAGAAGCCTGAGCCCTCTTCCTCCTCTTCCTTCTCCCTCAGGAGTAGCCTCTGTCTGCTGTAGCCCAGGACCTAGTTTTGGTTTTTTTACTCCCTCTCTAGTTCTTATGGATGTCACCATGATCTCAGTCAGACCTCTTTACTTCTTGGAGCCTCAGCTTCCACATCTATACAGTGGCTCTGAGGAGACTGGGTCTCTACCAGTGATGGTGAGGTGAACCTTTTAGAGCTTTCAGTCATACAAACAGCCTGCTGTGGTATACATGCCATAGGTTCGCCACCACTAGTCTATAGCATCATCATTTCCCCCACCCCGGTTTGTAGGGCATAAGTTGTGGACAGTTTATTAGGAATTTTTTTTCTGGAGCTGTGGAAGGTAGTGGGGTCCTGAAACCTAGCCTCTCCTTAGAAAAGTCAACTTCCTCTATCCCCAACTTGGAAAACTTACCCTAATGATGGTGGGAGTTGCTCCAAGATATACCCCCATCCTGCCCTGGGAGGGAAGAATAGGGGTCTCAGAGAGGGGATGCCCACTGCTGAGAGACGTAAACCTGATTCACAGCCCAGGTCTCCCTAGGCTCCAGCCCCCCAGGCCCAAGGTCCTACCCTTGGGCATGCAGCCTCTGGGAATCTGGGCAGCACTTCAGGCAGCAGCTACTTGCATCACTCTTAGCCCCCTCATCAGTTCTCCACCAAGTGTCTGGGTTAAGGGAGATAGTTCTAGGTTCTCTTCTTGGTCATGATGGGCACCCTGAGGGGACCTGGCCCTGACATTGCCTCCCTCCCACCTTGGGTGGCCCTAGCTTTACTGGCAGGCAGGCAAGGGTTAAAAGGTGTGGGCCAGCCCAGTTCCTGACCAGGTAGGCTGGGCCATTACCTTGTGGGAGGCGGCCAAGGCATCTGCCACTGCTGCTGAGTGTCACTACCAGCCGAGCCAGGGCCTGGCCAAGACAACTACTGTTTTTTAGGTACCCGAGGCTACTCTGCAGTACTCTCTGGCATTGGTGAGCACCTGGAAGCAGTGGGCCCAGGGTGTGGGGGAGACAAGAGCATAGGGGCTGAGGTAGGGTATGCTGAAGTTCCCTTCCGGAGAGAGCCAGGTCTGTGGAAGAAGTATGCTGACAGTGTGGAGTGCAGTGGGGGGCTCGAGGTGAAGCCCAAAATGTCCAACTTCCTTTTCTGGGACAGATTGATTCCTGGCCAGAAATGGGTGGGGAGGTATGGGGGAGAAGAGCTGCCTGAGTACCCCTCCTCCACCTCACTCGCACTTCCTCTCCTTTCTCTCCTGCTGAGCTGCCTCTGCCCTCCCCCACCCCAGGGCCAGTCCCTCTGGAAAGGACAGACCTGGCTATTGAGAAACTATTTCCCAGGCACCTGCCTGCCCACCCCCCATTTGTTCACCTGGAATGGAGGAAGTAGGGACTTGGAGGTGGGGAGTGCTTATTTGCTCCAGTGGCAGCAGGATATGAAAGTGGGGGTCCTGCTGACAGTGTTGGGGTGCCACCCAGCTGAGGTATCTTGGTTGTAAACAGTCATTACAGCCAGGAATTTCATTCTGGGCTGAGGTGTCAGAAGGGCAGACCTGAAAAACCTGCTGGGCCTGCCTTGGGGTATGGGGGTGCCCTCTACAGCTCTCCTACTTTAGCCCAGCCCCACTAGGGGAGGGCAGACTGATCCCGTGGAGGACCGACAGACCAGAAGGCCCCTGGGGTCACCAGTGGGAGGAGATTGCTGAGATCCCCTTCCAACCATCTCTGCTTGGTAACGCGGCAGCCCTAGGCCCAAAGTAAGTATATGGAGGGCAAGTGAGCAAAGGCAAAGGTTCCAGAGCTGGGCGTGGGGGTTCGAGGTGTTGACCTTGTGCTTAGCCTGCCCAGTGACCCCATGACTCATGCTGTAGCTATGTCCCAGAGGTCAGGCTGACAGGGTGGAGTCAGGGTTCCTGTCTTGACCCATGTAGACTTCCAGGATGCTCTGAGCTCCCAAAGAAGGAAGGATTGAGGCAACCCTGTGTGGGATGTGGGACCCATCTTTGGTGAATGGGGTGAAAGGCCCGGGGTGGGGGTTGGGTTTTTATTGGGGTGGAGGAAAGCTCAGGGGAGCTTGGTGAATGTTCCCCCAAACCCAAATGAGGCTTTAGAAAATAGGGAGAGCCCCTGGACCTGTGAGGCAGAAGAGACTGAGCTAGGGCATATGCTGGGAAGTGTCAGCCCTTAGATGGGTGAGTGTGTGAGGCCTCTGTAAAGTACAGCTGGCCTGGCTTTGTGGAAAGGCTTTGGCATGGGTGTCCGATCTTTTGGCTTGCCTGGGCCACACTGAGTGAATAGGCATGGTTTGGGGCCACATGTAAAATATATAATATAGTTTATGTATATAAGTATCAAAACTGCCTTTTAAAAATGTTTTTATTCGACTGGGGATTTAGCTCAGTAGTGCCTCCACCTGTCTCGAAAGTGCAAGGTCCCTAGTTCAATCCCTGATACCAAACAAAAAAAATGTTTTTATGGGCCGAGGATTTAGCTCAGTGGCATCGCACCTGCCTCCCAAGCTCAAGGTCCTGAGTTCAATCCCCAGTATCAAAAAAACCCTGCTAATCAAAAATATTTTTATTATAATATTAAGGAAAAAGAGGCCAAGTGGCCTGTGGGCTGCAGATTAGATGCACCTGCTTTAGAACTGACCTCACCCCTGATAATGAGGACAGGGCATAAGTGCTTCAGGGGAGGATACAGACCCTGTCGGGCAGGCAGGAGGACTGCAGAGAAAGCGGGGGATGTTAAGGTCCCAAAGCAAGGGGGAGCTCAGCCATAGCCCACAATATAAAGATGGGGAGTCGCTTGAACCCATGCTCTTGGTTGCCTGGGTGTTCACCCCACCTGGCTACCATGTCAAGACTAGCTGTGGATTTCAGGGTAGTTGGGGTGAAAACTGGCCCATGAGGCTCTCCCAGTCACCTGCTGTGGAGATTAGGCCAGGTGGTGGGAGGTGATGTCACCAGGTTGCCCAGCTGGGGACTGAGCAGGATGTGAGAGAGGGAGAGCTGGCACCCAGCCAAGGTAGTCTCCACGGTCACCCAAGGTTTAGGGGGGCAGGAAAGGAGGCAGGGGACGGGTGGCTTGTTATCTGTAGCTGTGGACTGCTTCTCACAAATCTTGGCATGGTGACTTCCCTTTGGTAATCTCAGGACAGGCTCAGAGGAAGAAAAAGCCTAGAGGGACCCTGAGATCATATGAATACTTGCTACATCAGGGCTCCAGGATGGAGCTGGGACAATAGACCCACAGACCTGGGCATAGATCCTGGCTCAGCTCTCTGAGCCTGTGTTCACACAATCACTTGTTCAGTCTGCAGCATGTTCTTGGAGCACTTACTGTGTGTGCAGTGGTGTTGGAGGTACTGAAGATGCTGATGTAACAGGAAAAGACAGGGAGGTACAGGGGAGGCCAGTCTCTTGTTGGACAGCAGTAGTGAGAGGGTACTATGCAGGGTCCATCTCTGGAAGTGACATATAAGCCCTAGAATGTTAAGTGAGAAGTAGGGCTATGGCGGTGAGACTTTGAAAACAACACTCCTGACAGCAGCCACAGCCTGGGCAAAGGCCCTGAGAACGGATAGACTGGGGAACTTATGAGGAAGTCGGTGGACTTGGAGCAACTCTAGTGAGGGAGAATGTAGGACCTGAGGAGTAGGCCTACACTGTGTCCTTGGCTGTGGGCAAGTCACCTCATCTCTCTGTGCCTTACTTTCTTCATCTCTAACACAGGAGTAATAATCACAGAACTCCTATCACTGGGGGGTTGTGAAGATTCAATGTGGCATAGTAGGTAACTGTTCTAGGCACCCAGGTGCTTAATAAGTGCCCCCTGTTGTTATACTTGATCGAATTTGTACCACTATTTCTCTCTCCCCAGGCAAGACCTCTGGCAGTGGCTCATGGGCCTCTGAGGAGGCGTAAGTCCACCCAGCGTCCCACTTGCTGTGTTCCCACTCAATGGGAAGGGAACCAAGGTACCAGGGCCAAGTGGGTCCAGACATCAACACAGAATATGAGAGGGAAGGGCCGGGGATTTAGCTCAGTGGTTTCGCCTCCTGCTGCGCAAGCACAAGGACCCGAGTTCAAGCTCCAGTACCAAAAAAAAAAAGAAAGAAAGAATATGAGAGGGAAGCCAGGCATGGTGATGCACGCCTGTACTCCCAGCACTCAGGAGGCTGAGGCAAGAGGATTGCTTCAAGTTTGAGGCTAGCCTAAGCTACATAGTGAGTTTGAAGCCAACTTGAATTGCATAGTGGAGACTGTCTCAAAAAAAAAAAGACTGTGAGAGGGCAGGCCAGGCAGGTGGGTGGGGCCCAAGGAATCCCCAGCTAGAGCATGGGAACCTGGGTTGGGCCAGGGGCCAGGGTGTGGGGTGGTATATCATGTATTCTGCTTCCTTAATGGCCCCTGTGTCACTCTCAGGCCTTGTCTAGCCATCAGCCACGGGCTCCCCACAGCATCGAGATGGAAGTCAAAGGTCAGCTGATCAGCTCTCCTATCGTCAATGTCCCAGGTTGGTAGCTGGTTCCCCCTCCTGCTGCTCTTCCCCTGCTTTGAATCACTACCTGCTCTCTTGGGGAGGGTTGGTCTCTGGTGCCACAGATGCTCCAGGATGCCTTAGCTACCCCACTGATCTTTGCTCCCTCTGTGTCCAGCTGCCCTGTTTGGAGAGGCTGCCCCCCAGGTGAAGTCAGAGCGTCTTCGGGGGCTACTTGACCGGCAGCGGGCTCTCCAGGAGGCACTGAGCCTGAAACTTCAGGAGCTCAGAAAAGTTTGTCTCCAGGAGGCGGTGAGAGCCAGGTCCTAGGGGTCTCAAGTGGGAGGGAGTGAGGAGCTGGGGCCCTGGGTAGGCCAGCTGTGTTGGCAGTTGCTGAGCCACTTGTCTGGGGTGTAGGTTATCTGATAACCCCTTGTCTCCTCAAAGCTCTGCTTAAACATCTTAGAATCAGCGAATCAGTGAAATACGGTGATGTCAGCCCACAATTCCCACGCAACAACTCTAAATCCCCAAAGCCTCAAAAAATAAAACCCTTTTCCAAAATTTGGCAGCACAGCCTACCCTGAACTGACATAGGATGATTTATAGTTGTTTTTTTGTTTTTTGTTGTTTTTTTGTTTTTGGTCCTGGGGATCGAACTCAGATCCTTGCGCTTGCGAGGTGGGCGGCAGAACTGCTGAGCTAATCCCTGGCCCCGCTGATTTATAGTTTTGACTTACAGCTTGTGTGTGAATGTCCACACAGTTTGCTGGAAATAATAACGTGGTTCAGACTATGCAGCCCCAGACCTGATGGGAATATTATATAAAGTACACTACATAGACTGTGTCTTCTTTATAAAAACTGCAATATTCTGCACTCTTGGTTTCGAAGCCTTTGGTACCTCCTGCCCCAGGGTTTAGGCCATTGAAGGGCTGAGAGTCTATGCTACTCACCTGCCTGGTGGAGGAAGAGACATAATATGTGTGGGGTGCTGGGCAGGGCCAGGCTCCACAGAGGACTTCTGTAGCTTTTGGGATCATCACTGCTTTACTCTGTGCCTACAATTGACTCTTGGTCATGTCTATCCCCTGCCTCCTCCAGGAGCTTACTGGCCAGTTGCCCCCTGAGTGCCCACTGGAGCCTGGTGAACATCCTCAGCTGATCCGCCGCCGGCCCCCTGCAGCCCGTGCCTACCCTCCAGTGCATCCTAACCCAGCACACCTCTCCTTGTGCCCTGCTGAGGTGAGTAGATGGGTATGGAGGGTGAGATGGTGGGGGAAAGGGGGAGGAACAGGCATGGAAAGAATGCCTGGGAGTAACCTGGGAGGTGGAGATGAGAAGGGAAAGGGCTAGAAGAGGTGGTTTTCTGGTATTATGCTGTCCCTAACTCTATCAGGACTGGCCTCCCACTTTCAGGAAGATGAACATGCCCAGCCCAGGGAGGATGACTAAGCTCCATCCCTAGGCAGATAGGCCTGCCTGCAGGAAGAGCAGGCCCCGCTTCCAGTGCAGATGGATTCTGCCACTGCCTGGGTCCTGTGCCTGGCCATTTCCAACATTTGGTCCTATTCCACCCCTCTTGGGCCCCATAGGAGCTGGCTCTTGAGGCCCTGGAGCGGGAGGTGTCAGTGCAGCAGCAGATCGCTGCAGCTGCTCGTCGCTTGGCCTTGGCCCCTGAGCTGAGTGCTGAGCAGCGCCGGCGTCGGCGCCAGGTGCAGGCAGATGCTCTTCGGAGGCTACATGAGCTGGAGGAGCAGCTTGGAGATGTCCGGGCCCGCCTTGGCCTCCCAGTGCTTCCACCCCAACCACTGCCACTGTCCTCAGGGGCACTCATCACCACCCAGGGAGTCTGCCTAGGCACGCGCCTAACTCAACTCAGCCAAGGTGAGCCAGGCCTTAGAATCCCACCAATGACATGGGGAGCATAGGCCAGGAAATGAGCTCTGGCTAATGGATGTGGTGGTGGGGGGGATGGGTGAGCAGCCAGTGAATGGTGAGAGATGGACAGATCTTAAAGGAGCCATCGAGTAAGAAGAGTTGTGATAAAGGGCGATAAATGGGCAAGGGAGACCTTGAGGGACTGAGTAGTAGGCCCCAGGAAAGTGAAGGCCCAAGCCCATGCTGGTCTTCCATTAAGGTAAAAGTGGGTTTCTGGGAAGGGAACAGAGTGAGGAGGGACCACCCAGAATGTGGGGTAAGCAGAAGAGCCCATCTAGAGGGGAAATGGGATGGTACCTAGGCCTTGGGGTGATAGTTCTGTTTTTCTTCCTTCTCACCTATAGAAGATGTAGTCCTGCACTCGGAGAGCAGCTCCCTCTCAGAATCCGGGGCCAGCCATGACAATGGTGAGGACTTGTATCCCTTAACCTGCCCCCAGTCCCCTGCTAGGTTCCCTCAACCCACTCAGTGATGCTCAGACCCTCCCCTACTTGTTTAGCTGTTCCTTAGCTGTGCTCCATCTTTCTATGGCCCCCATCTTTTGGGGGGTATTTTTTGCTTTGTTTTAGAGACAGGGTCTTGCTATGTAGTACAGGCTGGCCTTGAACTCACTGTGTAGTCCAGGCTGGTCTCTTCCTGACTCAGCTTCCTGAGTGCTGGGATTAACAGGCATGTACCACCATCCCTGGCCCCCACCCATCATCTTAGTATCACCCCATCCCTCCCTCCACAGCCCCAGGGCCTACACTGTGAGCTCCTCTCTTCCTCTTTTTGCCCTGTCTCATTCCTTAGCTCCTTAGCCTCCTTAACCCCTATCCCAGCACTAGCCTTTGCCCTGTGCTTTGCGCCAACCTGTCCTGGCCCATCTGGGCCCTTTCTTTTTTTTTTTTTTTGGTACCAGGGATCAAACTCGGGACCTTCCGCTTTCGAGGCAGGCAGCAGCACCACTGAGCTAAATCCTCAGCTGGGCCCTTTCTTTTTAACTTCTACCCCAGTTTTTTTCTTCCACTCAGAGGAGCCCCGTGGCTGCTTCTCTCTGGCCGAGCGCCCCTCACCACCCAAGGCGTGGGACCAGCTTCGGGCAGCATCTGGGGGGAGCCCTGAGAGGCGAACCCCGTGGAAACCACCCCCGTCAGATCTTTATGGGGATTTGAAGAGCAGGCGGAACTCTGTGGCCAGCCCTACCAGGTGAGGATGAACTCTTTCTCCCCGCACCCCAGGAGCCAGGAATGGGATCCTGAGCCTGGGATGACAGGAGGGCCTGCTGTGGGGTATGGACTCTAACCTGGGCCCCGACCTGGGCCTGCCCATCTCTGTCTAGCCCCACCCGCTCACTGCCCAGGAGTGCCTCCAGTTTTGAGGGGCGAAGTGTGCCTGCCACCCCTGTCCTCACCCGGGGCACTGGCCCCCAGCTGTGCAAGTAAGGGGACTCTGGGGGTGGGTCTGAGGATCAGAGGAGGGTACCTTTAGTTCTGACTGGAGGTGTTGAGGAGAAATTGTCAAAAGGTGTGGGAAATGGGCAGTTGGGCTTTGAAGGCGAATAGGAATTATCTTGGTGAAGAAAGGGGAGGAAATTGGGAACAGAAACACCAAAGTTTGAGTATGGGCTTTCCTGTGTTTTGTACAGGTTATTTCCCTTGTGAATCATTGTCTCATTTTTGAAGTGGACATAGTAATATCAGCCTTTGAAAGACTTAGGAATTTGAACAAATTATGAGTGATTGATTAATTTCTTTCTTTTTTTTTTTTTTTTGGTACTGGGGACCTAACTCAGGTCCTTGTGCTTGCGAGGCAGGTGGCAGAACCACCGAGCTAAATCCCCAGCCCATGAGTGATCGATTAAAAATACTCCAAAAAGAAAAAAAAACATGGAGTAGAAATTTAAAGAACTTAATAAAACTCCTACATTTTATTTTAAAAAACACAGGCATTATAAGTTCTGGGTAACGTACTAAGTACCTATCATCTGCTAGTAATCAGTACTTTATAGCAGCTTATTTAAGTATCATGAGATCCCTCTGAAGGGGTGTTATTGGCATTCCCATTTTATAGATGAGCAAACTGAAGTGTAAAGATTACTTGTTAGTAAACTGAAGGCCTGATATTTGAACCCAAGCAATTTTGACTCTAGAGTTTGCTTTTAATCACTATGCTGTTAAATACTTACCAGCGCCTACTTTCCCCAGGCTGCAAAAAATACACCAAGGCCCTGTCCTTGTGGGTCCTCCATTCTGTGCATGGTGGCTATTGTGGTTCACATACATGATGCGACAGTTCAGACTGGTGTTATATTCCAAGCCTAAGGACTGATACCTGGTCCTGGAGGTAGAGAGAAGCCACAAGCAGGACCTTAGCAGGAATTGAGGGGTCAGGAAGAAACCTCTCTGTGGCTCCTCCTCTGCCAGTGTTTTCTCCTCGGTTCTACACATATTTACAGCCCCCCTCAGCTAGCAGCCCTGTCCCCCAATACATTTCTAACTCCTGGACCCCCTAGTCTGGGACCAAACCTCAGCTGCCATTAACGTGCTACTGTCACCTTCACACACAACATCTTATAATCCTAGGTCCATTTTAGAAATGTGTAAGTGAGGCTCAGAAAGAGATGAGGTAGGGAGGGCACTCAGGTCATGTGCCTCATTTTTCTGACCTTCCTCCCATTACCCCTACCTCTGTGCTCCAGACCCGAAGGCCTCCATTCTCGCCAGTGGTCCGGCAGTCAAGACTCCCAGATGGGCTTCCCCCGGGGGGAACCTGCCTCTGATCGTGCCTCCCTCTTCGCAGCTCGCACTCGCCGCAGCAACAGCTCTGAGGCCCTGCTGGTGGACCGGGCAGCTGGTGGGGGAGCTGGTTCCCCACCTGCCCCTCTGGCTCCCCCTGCCACTGGCCCCCCAGTCTGCAAAAGCAGTGAGGTGCTATATGAGCGCCCCCAACCACCCCCTTCCTTCTCCTCCCGCACAGCTGGCCCCCTAGACCCTCCCCGGGCCACCCGGCCTAGTTCAGCTGCCCCTGTCTCCCGTGGGGCCCCCAGGCTACCACCTGTGTGTGGAGACTTCCTCTTGGACTATTCCTTGGACCGGGGCCTGCCCCGAAGTGGTGGCGGGGCAGGCTGGGGGGAACTGCTGCCTGCAGCTGAGGCCCCAGGACCCCTCTCCCGTCGGGATGGGCTCCTCACCATGCTCCCCGGCCCACCACCCATGTATTCAGCTGACAGCAGCAGCCCCCTCCTCCGCAGCAAGGACCCCCACACCCGTGCTACCCGTACTAAGCCCTGTGGCCTGTCCTCAGAAGCTGTTGAGGGCCTGGAGGTGCATCCAAACCCTCTCCTGTGGATGCCCCCACCCACCCGTATACCCCCAGCTGGTGAGCGCAGCGGCCACAAGAACCTTGCCTTGGAGGGGCTGCGGGACTGGTACATCCGGAACTCGGGACTGGCCATGGGGCCCCAGCGCCGGCCTGTGCTGCCACATGTGGGCCCACCACACCCGCCCTTACTCCATGCCCGCTGCTATGAGGTGGGCCCGGCGCTCTATGGGGCCCCCAGCCAGGCAGCGCTCCCGCACTCAAGGAGTTTCACAGCACCCCCTGTCTCCAGCAGGTATGGGGGCTGCTTTTATTGATGGGTAGGGGTCTCTTGAAGTGGCAGAGTTATCCAGGCTAGGGAAGTAGTCGTGATAGCTAATGACTGGGGCCACAAGGACATTCGTTGCAGCATTGGCATAGTGACTGTACCAGGCATGAGCAGTGTTAGTCCTTGGGGTCCTGGTGGAGGTGGATCTTGGGTGCTGTTAGCAGCAGCTCTTTACCAAGCTATAGAAGCATTTTAATATTTTAACCAGTGCATGTCAGCTGAAAGTGAGCCTTGAAGTCAGGGTGCCAGGAGGAAGGGACATCGTGTGCCCCTTACCTTTCTCTTCCTCTTTTTCCATGCCCCATGCTTGGGAGCCTTGAAGGTGCTGTCTTATACCTGCCTTCACCTCTTTAACGAGCCTGTTTTCCTCTTTCTGTGTCTTGTCTGTCTTTTCTTCTCCTCTCATCTTCCCCACCCTGTCCTCCGGATTCCTGCTGTCCCTTCTAAAGATACTACGCGGATTTCCTGTACCCCCCGGAGCTGAGCGCTCGCTTAAGTGACCTGACGCTAGAGGGGGAGCAGTCTTCCAGTTCTGACTCCCAAACCCCAGGGACACTGGTTTGACTCTTCCTGATATGCCCCTTGTTGGCCTGGGCATGACTCCAGCCTGAGGAGCACACAGGCAAATTTGCTGAGCTCTGGGATGTGGTTGCTCTCAGTTCTGGGGGGTGCCAGCCTGATCTTCCAAGGCCCCTGGCTCCCCATGGGCCCAAGGTGTGATACCCTGCTTCTCCTCTCATACTGTGCTGGGGACTGGGGGCCTCAATCAGCTTCAGAGAGGGGGTAATGTCATGGGGACTCTAAGCCCCTTCCTACATTTCTGTTTACAGTTGTGATTTAGTATTCACTGTCTTCACCCAACACTAGGCGTTTTATAAAAGGGAAACTGTGAGTTCGTCCTGGTTGGGTTCATTCCTGTCCCCATGCCCAGCCTGTCCCATTTAGGAAGCTCCCCCAAATAAAATGGACCATATAGAGTCCCCGGGCCCTGTTTAGGGCCACCAGGAGACTCTGGTATAAACAGAACTCCTGCCATCTCCTACTAAGGGAGTTCTTGTGCAGGTGGGCTCTCTGCTCACCTTTGGATGGATTGAAGTGTGGATGGGATACCTGAAGGGCCCTGTCCTTGTCTGTACCCTCAGCCTGTGTGCCCACCATCTCCAATCAGGAGGCCACAGGAGTTTGAGAGCCATCAGGTGTGTTACATTCTGGGATGCTGTGGTGGTTGAACCTGGCATCTGGATGATGTCAGTAAAATCCTCAGGTGACGTCTGGCCATGGGTCACAGCCCACGTCACATCTTCCTTGGCTTTCCTTACATTCACCACTTTTTAAACAAATTACACAAACTGTGTTTTCTATGATCGCTATCTGTGACTTTCTGGAGCTGGGGGTTCCCCTACCCCATTTACCTGGTGTTAAACTTTCTTTTTGTACCAATGGATCTGGGGCCAAGACACTACCCACACTGGAAGGGGATTTCTATAATAAATGTGTAAACTGAACCCCTGTGTTACTCATCTATCTGCTTTGCCACAGCGGCCCACAATTCTAGTTCAGTCCAGATAATATAGTACACTTTTACATGAAGAATGATACCATGGGATGGGCCAGATGGGCCAGGGTAAAACAAAGCACCATGGAAACAGATAATGTCATCTGTTTTGACTTGACTCTGCCTTGTGAGGTGAGTCAACTTATTAGCCTGATTGCACTCAGATTACTGGCCCACCTGAAGAACTCAGTAATCTGTGTGTATGTGTGATGCTAGGGCTTTGTACATGTTAGGTAAGCACTGTACCACTGAGCTCCATCCTACACATTACACCCTTAATCTGTCCATGCTGATCTAGAGGTAACAGGTTTGAGGAAGACCCTGAGCGATTACACACACACACACGCACGCACGCACGCACGCACCCGGCGCACACAGAGTTCAACAGCATTGAAAAACAAGGCCACCGTGTCCACTGAAATGCACAAGGACTTCAGCCAGGATCCCAAACTAAGCTTGAGAGATTTAACAGCTTTATTGTTACAGCAATACTGATATATCTACCGATATCTACTGATATATCCAGTTGCGGCTACCTTACCCTCCGCGCCTTGGTCCATGACACTGTGGAACACTGGGGGAGGGCAAAACCTCTTAAATAGCAGAAGGCAACTGGGACCGGTGAGGGTTGAGGTCACCTGGTTCAGCAGGGTCAGGATACCTGACTCCACCAGGTGAGGACTGAGAACATTTGGCTTGGGGTCTAGGTTTGGCAATGCCTTAACCTAGGTTTGAAGTTGAGGTGGGGGTCTGGAAAAGCCTTGGTCCAAGGTTCAAGATTTGAGAATGTCTTGACCCAGGCCCCAGCTTTGGTGCTGCACATGGGAGACTGGTGAGTCCCAGAATTTAGGTAGGTATCTCTGGGTCCATGTTTTGAGACTGGCCATGGACACTAGTCCCAACCCCAAGGTCTGAGGCTGGATGTAGGTGGCTCTGGGTTCCAAGTTGAGGGTTGTGGAAGACGATAGTCCCTAGGTAATGGGGGCTTGGGTGTGAGTGATACCCTATTTTTTTTTGAGACAGGGTCTTGCTCTGTAGTTCGGGCTATCCTTGAGCTCACTATGTAGCCCACGCTGGCCTCGAACTCCAGGTAATCCTCCTGCCTCAGCCTCCTGAGTGCTGGGATTACAGACGAGTGCCACCACACCTGGCTGATACCCAAATTTTAAATTGGAAATCACTGATGTCCTTTTCTTTTTTTTTTTTTTTGGACTGGCTAAGGTGCTCTTGACTTCTATTATAAAAGCTGGGAGGGCTGGGAATTTAGCTCAGTGGCTCCTCCGGCCTGCCTCGAAAGCGCAAGTTCCCGAGTTTGATCCCCAATACCAAAAAAAAAAAAAAAAATGGGAGAGGGATCTGTGTGCCGGTAAGGGCTGGGGTGGGGGTGTTCTTCAGGTCCTGGGTACAGGTTCCAGGCCCTTAGGATCCAGCCTCCTGTTCTTGTCCCAGCGCCTCTAGTAGCAGCCCCATTGGCGTCCGCTTGAGACCAATGCTCTCAATTTTGTTCTCAATCTTGTTTTTAAGGTTTCGAAGGCGTAAAGAGGCGTGCACCAGGATCACTGTGGGTGGTACGAGAGGAGTGGGGTCAGTGGGATGGGGCTTCAGCTTGCAGCCAATCGGGGCCCACATAAGGGAACCGGTGCAAGGCAGGACGATGGAGTGGTGGGCAACCAGGATGCCTGTTAAGTATGGCCGAGTAATTCAATTCGTTTGGCAGTGGAGGCGTGGCCAGAAGAAAGGGTTTTCAGTAACTGGAATGTGGCCAGTGTAAGGCACCTAACACCAGGAGCCCCAAAATGTCACTAATAAGAGGGGTGTTCCCAGAAGGAGGGAGCGAAGTCAGGAAAGGAGCATTTAACAGAGCTGCCCTCCGGGTTTCCCAGCCCTGTCTCAGACCAAGAATCAGTGCAGGCCAAGCCTGGCGTCTTAAGCGTTGGCCGTTTTCCCAGGCATCTCAGGGGTTAGTAGACTCACGAAGCACCGGCCCGGCGATGCTGAGCAGGAAGGTGCAGGCGCCACCCGCGACCCAGAGAATGAGGAGGCCAACGGCAAGCACTGCCGCTAGACAGGCGGCAGGGTGGTTGCGGCGGCAGCGTCGCATTGCTGCTCGGGTCTCAGCCGCCCACACCAGCACACTAAGGGCCACCAGCACTGCCAGCGCGCTCAGGAGCGTGTGCAGCGGACGCACATACCTGCGGGAACAAGGGTACTAAGCTAGCCTCCCCCTCCCCCATCAAATCAAAGAGGTTTAATTTGCAGCCCGCAAATACTCCCACCAGCCCTGCCTCCAACAGGTCCATCCTCCAGGGGGATTCCTGTGGACCATTTCCTGTGTTTGAATCTTACAGTCCATTTTCCTAAGGTCTTTGCTTCAGGTCCTCTCATTCTGCTAGATGCCCTGGGCTCCTGCCATTTCCCTGGTCTTTCCTACCCTTCTGGGCTCCTCTCCAGCAACCCTCCATCTGCCCCCACTTACCCCATTTGAGCCAAGCCTCTGCAGATCACTCATCTAGGCTTCCAGTCTCCACTCATTTCCATCTCCCCTGGCCCATGGTCCTTAGAGGACCCCGTTCTAGGTGCCCTCTCTTTCCCCATCACGTCTACCATTTCTCTCTCTATAGATCCTTCCTTGAATCATTACTAGAATGCTTCTAGGCCTTTGATCCCACTCTTAACTTCCAGCCCTGACCAAGTCCCTCCTCTAGATTCTCAGTCTCTCTGGTCTCCAGCTTTTCAACCCTGGGGTCTTCCCTCTGGGAAGATACCCAACAGGTATCTGCTCCTGGCGCGTTCCAATCACGGACAAGCTTTCCTCCAAGACTACTCCATAAATGTACCTTCCAAACCCTTCAACTTTTACCACGTCCCTGTCCCCGCCTCTGTCCTAAATCCTCCAGGGCTGCATTAATCTGGCCCCATCACATCACCTCACCTAAGTACGCATGTTCTCTTTGCAAGGCCTCATTTTCAGGTCCACCTCCCAGCCCACTTTCCCCTTTAGCTCCACTCCATCCTTTCCAGGTCTTCCCTCTACACCCTTCATTCCCAGCAGGCCCTCCTTATAACCAGAAGGACCCGCCTCTTTTTCCGTGCCCCTCAGGCTTTCCATTTTTACCGAATTCGCCCTTCCTAGCCTAGCATTTTTATAGGTTTCCCCCTCCCGGTCCTCAAGGATCAGCAGGGGACCCCCTCCATGGCCCTGGTGTTCCGGCCAACCAACCAACCACCACATTCCTCCCTTCCTCCCTCACCCGACTAGAGCGAGACCGAAGCCAAAGCAGAGAAGGTAGTTGGTTTGGTAGTAGAGAAGGTTGTTGATGACACGGTGGCACCATCGCTGCGGGTCCCATGGATCCGGAGCTGCCAAACGCGCCAATCCCAAAACAAAGTCGTCTAGGGCGCGTAGCGGTGGCAGCCGCACCTCCGACATCCTGTCGGTCACTGGACCAGCCCGAAGAAGGGCAGGACTACAACACCCATCACATCCCGCGGCACCGCTAGGCACACCGGGAAATGGAGTCTAGGCTAAATGATTAACCCCCCTGCTCTTAGGTGGAATGCGCAGCCGCAGCAGCGCACATGATTCGGAAGGCAAGTGACGCGCCAGTGGGGCAGCAAGGGCTGCCGGGAAATGAAGCGTTGGCCACGCTACGAAGATCTCCGAACTTCCTCACACTTCTAGACTCCGGGGCGGACTGCACTGGGCGGTGCCGGCGGTTCAAGTACGCAGTAGCCAGACAGGCAAAGATAAAGCACCAAGGGCTCTCAGAAGGATCGGAGCTAGTCTCCACTTACTGTCAGACTCCAAGAGGGTCACACCTCTCAAGGAAACTCCATGCCCCGCCCTTGAGGTCAAGCCATAAATGCCATTAGGGGCCTTTTATTCATATTCATCACATCAGAAATCATCTTTCCTGGTAAGCGTTTTTAAATCTCAAGGTAGGGTTAGTATACTTCCTCTGGGTCCCTGGCTATGTTCTCCAGGATCGGGGCCCCAGGGATCTGCTACCTCCCTGGATCCGTGCCCTAGCTCTTCCAGCATACAATCATTAAAAAGTGCTTGAGGGAAGTGAGCTGTTGGTTTAGACATAGCTTTGCTGAGTGGAAAGAGGACACAAGCCTCTTTAGTGCTTGCTAACTGGTGGCTTCCACAACACTTCCCCATACCCAAGGCTCAACCCTGTAATCTGTTACTGAAGATTCCTAGCACAGCCGTCAGGGTCCTTAAAAGTCATCATCATCACAGATGTCAAGGTACACGTCGAAAGCCTCTCTGTTGCAGTTTCCGTCGGGAGTGAAGACATATTTGTGGAAGGTTCCATCTACGCAGATGGCTGGGGGTGGTGGTGGTAAAAGGTTAGGGGCTGCCACTGCCATACACTCCAGTTTTCTCAAGTGTCCCTTGGCCTAAGGTTTACCTCCAGGCCTTTGCCCAAGTGTCATACCCCTTAGTGATGATGGAGTTGAGCCACACATTCCAACTCCCTCAGGCTTCTGATGGCCCTCAAATTGTTTTAGGTCCAACCTGCAGGCTTTTGCTCTTGCAGACCCTTTTCCCAACCAACAGGCTATTCCCACTCACCAATTACAGAGTTGACGTTCTTGGAAGTATTTCGACCAAAGGCGCAGATGCAAGCCGACTCAGCAGGCACGGTGAAGCTCGCCAGGCTCCACTGAGAGTCCACGTACTGCCCAATCATAGGCCCCACCTTGCCCACGCGAGCCAGCCTGCAGGCAGCACTGGGTAAGTCTGACATGGTACATGAGCAGGGGCATGGGGACACTACAGGGTAGGGTGGGGGTACTCACGCAGAGCGGCGGTTGAGGCGGGTATCCTTGAGAGCGAAGATATGCACAGTGCCCTTATCACTGGAAGCGCAGAGGAAGGAAGAATCATGGCTGAAGTTAATGCTGCAAGAGAGACCAGCAGTGACGCCCACATGACATGTGCCATGTGGTCACTAGCCCACTACACATATCCTGTGCTCACCAGTATAGAATGGCAGGGTCAGTGCCTCGGCGCAGCTCTACTAGTTTCTCCTTGGATTGGGTGTCAAAAAGGCGAATGAGGGTTCCCTTCTGGGAAGCCGAGGCCACCACAGTGCCTGGCTGGTTCAGAGACACACAGGCCACATCACTCTGATGTGCATTGATAGTGAATGGAGCAGATGAAGTGCCAGGCTTTGTGCTCGCCAGGTCCTGAGGTAGGAGGCAGCAGTTCAGGGTTGAGATGTCATGGAGGGGAGCGGCCATGGGCCCACAGGGAGAGATGGCCCACCTGCCTGCCCACCCTTGTCTGTTGGGTGGCTCACCACAAGTTGCAGACTTCCACACTTGTGTCCTGGAAACACGAGCAGTTGCTTCTCTAGGCTGGGACAGAGATCACAGAGCCCTAGGGTTTGAGGATAGGGAGATAGGCAGGTGGAGGAAAGGCAGAGGCCAGGAAAGGTCTCAAAAGGACAGAACTGGTTAATGACACGATACCTACAGAAGCCTCTGGGGGGCAGGCTTTCTCTTTGCTGGGCAAATCCCTTCTGCCCCCAAGTAGCTGATTCTAATAAACTGCTGGGCCAGCCATGGAGGCCCAGTTCTGCTTTCCATGCTCACCCATGTCTTCACCAGGTGTTTCTGCTCTGTCATTGGGGCACTCAGGGTGGGGCAGGGCCAAGGGTGGGAGAAGGGAACTGACTGAAGAATGGAAAGAGGAACAGACTGCATCTTTCAGTCTATTTCAGCATCTCTGTGCACAGAGCCTCTCCCTGCACCTTTTCCAGTGTCTCTGGGTGTATGCTTCTTCCTTTCTCCCTCATCTCTGCCCCTTTGCCCTGTCATGGTCTCACACTTACACCTGCACATCTGAGTCCTTACCCTTGGGGTTGTCCCGAGTGTCAAACTCAAACAGCTTTCGGGGATTGTCAGGGAAGGAGTACACATAGATGCGGTTCCTCAGCACAATCACGATCCTGTGGGTTTTACACAACACAGGAGACTGAGGGGAGAGTGGGTTGCCTAGGCAGGACTAATCTTCTCACTGTGAGGACCTCCTGGCCTCCACCCCAGTCCCCTTCAGGCTTACTTGTCATGGCGCATGCGCACAGCCAGCACTGGTTTGGTGAAGGTGAATTCCAGCACCAGTTTGTCCTTAGAGTCCTTGCCTTCCCGGGCATCATCCCAGATCAGCACTGCTGGGCAGGTGGGTAGGGTGGTGGGGCCAAAGTTTAAGGTGAGAGGCAGCCCTGATGACACAGGAAACCCACTCCTACTCCCCATGGGACCTTAACCCACTTGCTTGATCTTTCACTAAACACCCTGTGTAAGCCCTGCACAGAATGAGCATTGTGGACACAATCCCTGAGACAATAGGTGCTAGAACTGTTAGGCCTAATTGGAGATGAGGTCTGGCCAAGGACCTTACTGTCCATTAACAACCAAGTAAGGGGCAGGGGATTTAGTTCAGTGGCACCGTGCCTGCCTCACAAGCACAAGGTCCTGAGTTCCATCCCTGGTACAAAAACAAAAACAAGAACTCATGCCCATGTCTGTAACTTCTCTTCAGTAATCATTTTTGCCTCCAAGGTCCCAGTCCATACCCCTAGGAGATTTCTGGGAGGAAACCTAGGGTCTATGTATGACTCACCTAGGACGATTCTTGCATGTTTCAGTGGGATTGGACAAGAAAAACCCTTAAAACGGAATGGCACTTGAGGGTCAAGCCAAGGGGGGTATCAGAGAGACAGTTCTAAGATTTGAAAACCTATTGATTGTGTCATCTTTTTTTGTGGGGTTAGGGATGAGACAGGGTCTGAATATGCAGTTCAGGCTGGTCTTGAACTCACTATGGAGCCCAGGCTGGCCTTGAGCTCACAGGCATCCTCCTGCCTCAGCTTCCTGAGTGCTGGAATTACAGATGTGTGCTACCACGCCCAGCTTGATTGTGTGATTATGAATAAATCACTTAACTTCACTCTCTGGGCATCATGGTGCATGCCTGTAATCCCAGCACTCAGGAGTCAGGTGGATTTCCACCTGTTAAGGTTTTGAGGTTACAGATGGATTGGAAAGCTCTGGGAAAATTAACAGACAAAAATTTCCCAGGTTCAACTTTAAAGCATGATATTTTAAAACCCAAAAAAACTCACTATAGTGGACTTGTGAAAAAAAGTATTCAGTCATTGTTAGCACTGAATAAATATCCTTTTAAGTTATATATATACAAACATGTGACTCTGTTAGCTTTAGTTAGTAGCTCTCTTCTTTTTTCTCTTTTTCATTGGCTTTTTTTTGGTACTGGGAATTGAACTCAGGACCTTGCGCTTGCCAGGTAGGCGAGGTGCCACTGAGCTAAATCCCCGGCCCTTCATTAGGTTTTTACTTGGTGCTTTTTCTTGTTTTGCACCAGAGGCCAGTCTGGGCTACAAAGCAAGCCCCTGTCTCAAAAAACAAAACACAAAACAAAAAACCCTCAGTTTTCTCACTGGTAACAATGAGGATAATGGGGCCGGGGATTTAGCCCAGTGGTTTCGCTGCCTGCTGCGCAAGCACAAGGACCCGAGTTGGATCTCCGGTACCAAAAAAAAAAATGTTGCAAAAATGAGGATAATGGAGCAAGGGGAGAATGTGCTTATTAATGCACATGCCAGGCCTAGCACATAGTTCCTTGAAGATTAAATGAATGAATGCATGCAAAGTGCATAGAATAGTACCAGGTTCACAGCTAATGCTCCATAGGGAAGGACATGGCATATGGAGGCATTTGATTGTTTTATTTTGTCTTATCTTGGCAGTGCTGGAGATCAGACCCAGGGGCTCACTCATGCCAGGCAAGTATTGTACCAATGAGCTACATCCCTAGCCTGAAAAAGTGGTTTTTTAAAATGAAAACAGAACACCAAGCTCCTCAAGCTTTAAGATCCATGACTGCAAAATTTAGGCCTCACTATGGGACTCTGAGGTGCCCTGACATCTTCTTCTGTCAGTGCCTCGGGGTTCTTGTGGGAGGGCAGGAAATGGGGAATCTAGATCAAGGGCTGGATGAGGGGACTTACCTGAGATCTCGGAGAACTTGGGACTGCTACCACCGCCCACCAGGGCCAGTAGGTTGGAGCGGTGCAGCATCTCTACCAGGCCCATGCTGCCCACCTGCTCGTGGTCTGGACAGGGACCAAGGTGTCAATGGAGGTAGGTGCCAATGCCCAATCTTCTGCCCACTGTCCTACCCCCACCAGGTGACTCACCCAGATGCCCCTTCTCCATCAGTGGCTCTACATTATAGATACGCACACCTGTCTCCATGGCACAGCAAAAGCAGCCTGGGGATAGAAGGAATCTGGATCAGCTCAGAGAATGCCAAGGGAGGAAGGTGGGGCCTGTGGCCTACCTACGACCCTTCTCTCCCTCCCACAAGGGTTCAAGTTTAAGCTTCTCTCACTTTGGTCTTGGTTAAAATGCAGGCTGGTGACCCCTCGAAGTGGTTGCTGAGTCATGGTTCAGGATTTCTCCCCTGGACACAACAGGATAATGGGAAGGGTCCTGAGGTCTCCCCTCCAAGTCTTAGAACTTCTGTCCCCGAGTGATTTCTTCCTCTACTCTTAAATTCTTTGCCAGACTGCAGAGACAAAAATAGAGGAAATGTCTGGTGTCTGCCCTAAGCTCTTAAGACCCCAAGAAAAACAGCCAGAAACCCCACATTTTCTCACATTTGGCAAACCCCAGGTCCAAACACCTGGACACACTCCCACACACACTTCCTTTGACACTGCCCATGACTGACTCATCAGGAAGTAATGGGGTAAGGGGGTGTCCCACTGATACCTCCTTCCCATCCCCATCGAATCTTGGCCCCAGTACCTGCCTGACATGGCCTCAAACTGCTAGCTACCCCCTTATCTTTTTTTTTCTTTTTTTTGAGACAGGGTCTCATTATGTAGTCCAGGCTGGCCTTGAACTCATGGTGATCCTCCTGCCTCAGCCTTCCAAGTGCTGGAATTACAGGCATGGCCCACTGCCTTCAAGAACTCCCTACTTAATGCCTTTTTAACTCTACCCCAACCCATTCATCCACCTGAAATCTCCCACATGTTCCTATCTCGAGGCTTCTCCAACCCCCTTCTCCCTTGCTAACTTTGCCCACCAAGACCAGCATTGGATGTTTCTCCTAACTCCTTAAGCCGTAAGACCCTACCTGGCCATTACCTAATCACTCAACCCTCTACTCCTTTGACACTTTTCCTCCTGATCTGCTGTCCCCGACTCCTGTGTGAGCTGGCCTAGACTCATCCTCAGGAATGCCTTCCCCTGAGGTTCCTCCTCTAGAACTCCCTTCTCACCCTAAGATCTAAGGGCACCTCCTCAAGACCTTTTCCAAAGGCACACCACCCAAAACTCCTGCCTAGGAAAACATCAACCTTGCAAATCGCCTACTGTTCCCCTTCCCTTAAAATTCCAGCCCTAGAGACCCCGCCCTCTCTAATCTAATTCCCCAAGACCTTTGCCTAGGTGCGCTCCCTGCCCATCCACCGAGAGCCCAAAGCTCCTACCTTTCCATGCTGTAACACCCTCTACCAGACAATCTGCTCCCCCCAAGACCCATGATTTTGATAGCTCAACCTTGCGAAAGCCCCTTTTCGGACCTCCATTCCGAATTCCCCCACCATTCATGAACCTACCTGGGGTGCCTCCCCTCTTTCCAACGAGTATTCTTACACTTCCAACACCAGCACCCACTCAGGACTCGCAGACACCCCATCTACCAATACCCATCCCCCGCCCCAGGACCACGACCAACCCTGGGATCCCGCTCCAGCTCCCCGCCGGCTGCACCGACCTGACCTCTACGTGACCCCGGCCACAACAATTTGTACGGGCCGCGGCCCGGCTTTCTGACCTTCCGGGCTTTGGTGACCGGCTCTGGTGTTTACATCAGGCCCCACTTCCGGGGGAGGGAGTTTGTGTCCGGAAGTGACATCCTGGCCGAAAAACTTGGTCGCGGTCCTTCTCCCCCGTTCTCGGGTCTTAGGAACATCCCTCTCGATAGCAGGGTTTTCCTAGGAGGGCTCGGGGAGAGGAGGAAGGTCGGCAGGAGGGTCTGAGGCTTGCCAAGGGGAAGACTAAGTAAAGTGGAAAGAGGCGGAAGAAAGGCTTTCTTTCTCCTTAGTACCGGAAAAAGGCGGAGTCTTCAGTTCGTTTACCCACATAGAGCTAGAGGTGTTAACTTCCAAGCTAACCCGTTTTGGTCCTCCGATTGAGCTAGAGGTCCTACTGTTTGCTTTACATTTTCCCAGATTTAGGGAGGTGGCTTTGGAAGGCTCAAGGCAGGAGTGGATTTAGAGCCCCTGGAGCCTTTTCCTCCCAACATCCTTTCTTCCTGGAGAAAGTAGGGGTGGGACTTTGCTTTCTTACCGCCCTATCCCCTGCCTTGTTTTAGTTACAAAATAAAAATTTTCTTATGGTAAAAGGTATGAGTACTTACTGTGGAAACCAAAATAATAATAATAATAATAAGGGGGATATGTGTGTGTCAGATTATGGGCATACTGGAAGTATTTCTTTTTAGGTAAATTAAAATTTTTTAGGGTCTCGCTGTGTAGTTTGGGCTGGCCTTGAACTTACCATGTAGCCTAGGCTGGCCTTGATCTTGTAGTGATTCTCCTGCCCCAGCTTTGCAAATGCTGGGATTGCAGATGTGTGCCACCACGCCTGATTTAAATCTTGTTTTTCTGTGAGGTCTTGCTAAATTGCCCAGGCTGTGCTCCTGCCTCAGCCTCCTGAGTAGCTGGATTACAAGCATGTACCACTGCCTGTACTTTTTCTTTCTTTTTCTTTAATTTATTTTTTTAGACAAGGTCTCGGCATGTAGTTCATGTTGGTCTTGAACTCACTGTGTAGCCCAGGCTGGCCTTGAACTCATGGCAATCCTCTTGTCTCAGCCTCCCGAATGCTAGGATTACAGGCGTGTCCCACCATGCCCAGTTTGAACTCCCTGTGTAGCCCAAATTGGCCTAAAACTCTAGTAATCCTCCTGCCTCGCCTCCTGAATGCTGGAACTACAGGCATGCACCAACTGGCCGGACTATACTTTTGCACTTATATGCAATTTATAAATACTGGAGTATTCTTGGATATTGCTATGGTTTGAATGGACCCTTAATTTCATGTCTTGGAAATTTAACTCCAAATTCACATATGAATGGTATTTGAAGGTAGATCTTTGCAAAGTGATTGAGTCATGAAGTCCTTGCCCTCATGAAAGCATTGATCCATTCATGGATGAATGGGTTATCTGGGGTAACTGCTGTTGGTGCTGCAGTGCTGGGCACTGCAGAACCCAGAACACTGGACATGCCTGCTAGGCAAGTGCTCCAGCTGTATTCCCAGCCCCATGTGTACCATTCAAGAATGGAAGCGTTGTTGGGGTTTTTTTGGTGTGGTTGGGGGGGGGGTTGTCTGTGTTGGGGATGGAAACCCGGCAAGAGCTTTACCAATAGCAACATCCTCAGCCCTTAGGTTACATTTTTTTGTACAAGGATTAAGGTGGAGAGAATTTTATTCCCATGCCAATTGAAATCCGCTTGTTATCTCTCTAGACCTCATTTCTTGGAAGATCAGATATAAGGTTTAGTTGCAATTTGCCTTAATCCTTACACAAAAAAATTGTCGACCTCGGGGGCGGGGCGGGGGGGGGGCGCGTCGGGTACTTGAAGACACAGGCTTAGGAAGAAAATAAGAGTTACGACAGCAGAGCACAGGGGACCAGGGAGAACTGTGTCTCCAAGGCACCGAGCTTTATTCCAAGCCATTCTTTTATACAATTTGCTTGCTTTGCAGCTGCAGGAAATTATCTTGCAAAAACAAAGGATAAAACACAAGCTGTTCCACCCACAAGAACAAAGTTCATTTTATCACTGTCAGACCGAGGTTGGTAGCTACAAAACAATTCTATTTATATCAGATTAGGAAGGAATGCAAAGTGTCTACAAGGACTACAAGCCCTCTTCTGCTTTCTCGATTTTGGATCCTGGAAGCTATCTTTAGCTTCTTCTTGTTGAGCCTTCTCAGCAGGGCAGGGCACATGCAGTTCCAAGAATGCAGTCCAGGGCAGAGGCCAAGACAATGTCCACAAAAAGTAATCTCAAGTCACCTGATTTTATCAAATCAGTTCTTTTTCCATGTTTTGGTCTCCCTATCCTCACCTAACAAGGAAAGTAAGTGAAATGACCAATCTGCCTTTTTTTTGCGGGGGGTGGGGGGGGGGGGGGGGTGTGCTTCTTTCTTCAATTATTCTCTGTCTAAATCAATCTCCTCAGCAACTAATTGCACAGTTATTGTTTTATTATTATTTTTTTTTTGTTTGGTACCAGAGATCGAACTCGGGTCCTTGCGCTTGTGCAGCAGGCGGCGAAACCACTGAGCTAAATCCCTGGCCCAACAGTTATTGTTTTATGGAACAGTGTTGCCCTATTCTACAGTCACAGTTAAAGCCTATTAAAATTGTTAAGTTGTAGGCAGTCACAGTGGCAGGAGTTTTAAGGCTGAGGCAGGAGGATCGCCAGTGAGTTCAAGGCCAGCCTGGACTGCATATCAAGACTCACTCTCAAAAAAACCCCAAAATAAATAAATAAATAAAGGTCTTTAGTTCAAACCCAAAAATAAATAAATAAATAAAGGTCTTTAGTTCTGGGGCAGTGTGTCACATAGTAAAGGACAAGTAATACAAAGACTTTTTCCTGTCATAATTCCATTTATCACTGGGACAGACAGGGCTGGGACTTTGGAATCAAATTTGACTTTAAATCTTTCATCCTGGGCATGTTATGAAAATAGAGCGTGATTGCTGAGGGGGTCTCCGGATATACCACCTATCACACTGAGTAGGAGCAAAATTAGCTTTATTGCCAGCAGCTTCAAGGGATTTAAATTGCCTCAAAAGTGTCAAATAGAAGTTTACTCTCATTCTTATACCTTTATGTTTCTACAGTAGGGGGAAACAGCAACCATAATCAACTGGGGAATCACCCGTCAATCTAAGCATAATTACAGAAGCAGAGGGGCAATGAAGGGGGAGCAGGAGGTTTGGCAGGGCTTTCAGAGATCACCTTGCTCTAGTGAGTTGCATTACAGTAGTGACTATAGTTACAATATATCTTTCTCAGCAAGCACAGTAACACAGTTAACCCATAGTCGCCCATTTTTTTACACCGAGAGACAATTTCTGCCTTCAGAATCTCTGAGGCTCAGTTTTCTCATTTGTAAAACCAAGCTGGCTGGGCATGTTGGCTCAGGGTTGTGATCCAAGTACTCTGGAGACTGAGGCAGGAAGATTGTTGTAAATTCAAGGACAGCCTGGGCTATACAATGAGTTCAAGGCCAGCCTGGAATACATAATGAGACCCTGTCTCAAAAAAACAAAACAAATTTGTGCAACAAATAAAAGATAAAAAACTAAAAACAAAACAAAAAACAAGAGCAAAAGTAGAGAAAAAAATTGTGGTACTGATGAATTGCATTTGTTTAAAACAAGATGCATGTGAACATTTCTGCAGCTGTAGCATGAGTAAAATATATTTGTTACCAGGGAATTTTTTTTTCTTTTCTTTCTTTTTTTCTTTTTTTGTACCAGGGATCAAACTCAGGCCCTTGTGCTTGCCAGGAAGGCGCTGTGCAGCTGAGCTACCTCCCTGGCCCAGGAAATTTTTTTTTTTTTTTTTGGTATGGGGGATTGAACTCGGGACCTTGTGTTTGCGAGGCAGGCGCTGAAACCACTGAGCGAAATCCCCAGCCCTGGGAAATTTTTTTTTAAGGTAACAAATTCCTGGTTTATTTCAAATATATACACATGCTCGGGACTTTAGAGATTTGCCTTCTGGTTTTACTCTCTTCTTATTCTCCTACAATAGAAAGAAGTCCCCTTTTCATTACATATTTGACTATTCTTTCTCTGGTTTCTTCACTGTATGATTTACAAAAATTAGGGCATAATTTGATAAAGATGTCTTTCAAAGTTATGTATTTTATTCTTATAGCTGCCACATTGTATATCCTATAAAAAAGACCAATTTCAGTGATCCAATATTCAATAAGCATACCGTTAGTGAACTGTTAATTCACAGAACACAGGCCACACTTGGTGCAAAACAAGAAAAAGCACCAAGTAAAAACCCAATGAAGGGCCGGGGATTTAGCTCAGTGGCACCTTGCCTACCTGGCAAGCGCAAGGTCCTGAGTTCAATTCCCAGTACCAAAAAAAAGCCAATGAAAAAGAGAAAAAAGAAGAGAGCTACTAACTAAAGCTAACAGAGTCACATGTTTGTATATATACAACTTAAAAGGATATTTATTCAGTGCTAACAATGACTGAATACTTTTTTTCACAAGTCCACTATAGTGAGTTTTTTTGGGTTTTAAAATATCATGCTTTAAAATGAACCTGGGAAATTTTTGTCTGTTAATTTTCCCAAAGCTTTCCAATCCATCTGTAACCTCAAAACCTTAATAGATTTCAAATAACATTTCCACTGTACAATAAACTATAAGCCAAGTTAAATTTTCTTTTTTCTTTTCTTTTTGGTACCAGGGATAGAACTTGGGACCTTGCGCTTTCGAGGCAGGCGGTGGAACCACTGAGCTAAATTCCCAGCCCCCAAGTTAACTTTTCTAAGGGAAATAGAAAGTCATAGTTTCATCACAAAGTAAATTTGAGTTCGATCCCTGGTACCAAAAAAGAAGTACCACTTCCAGGTCCATGTTTTAGGGCCAGGGATTTAGCTCAGTGGTGCTGGCACCCGCCTCAAAAGTGCAAGGTCCTGAGTTTGATCCCTGGTAGCAAAACAAACAAAAAACCCACAAAGAAACAAAGTAAATTTGACTTACAGGAATCAAGATTTCCAAATCAGTTAATTCTTGTCCTGACAGCTGGCATCGTTAATACTTTAACACAACCACTTAAAATTAGCCAAATATCTAGTATATACAAAAGATATACAAATTAAAACCATTTAAAAAGCAATAGATACCATAATTTGTCCTTGGCCATAACTTCTATATTCAGAATGATTGTGAAATTAAAACCTAAGATTTTAGCTCAGTGGTGCCGCCACCTGCCTGGAAAGCACAAGGTCCCGAGTTCAATCCCCGGTACCAAAAAAAATAAAATAAAAATAAAAAATAAAATCTAAGGTAAAAACTGTACACCATGTGCTCTGAGTGATTGAACAAGAGCAGTCTTTCACTATCACACATTTAGTGTCTCTGGGGGGTGGTTGAGGAGAGAAACACCATGATACTTTGAATTTTTGTACTTTTGTTGACTGTTGTGCATGCTGTGGTGCTTTGAGATAGGCCTGGTGAAGGTCCATAAGACAAGGTTTAAGACTCTCCAGGGTGCATCCAGTCTTTTGAACTAATGATTCAGGCCAGCTTTGTCCTGTGACTGTGTAGAGTGCTAAATGAAAGGTTGCTCCATCAATAAGTGATGGCAAATACTTTAGGTATTGGTCAGTATCTATCAAACTTAATTCTCCCAAAAACATTGCTAAGCTTTCGACTTTGCAGTTTGCAGGCTGCTGATGAAGAAAGTACTGGGTAAGAAACTGATTTACAGGGCCGGGGATTTAGCTCAGTGGTTCCGCTGCCTGCCTCGCAAGTGGAAGGACCCGAGTTCGATCCCCTGTACCAAAAAAAAAAGAAACTGATTTACTGTTGATGCAGCTAAGTCAAAAGCAAGGACTTTCAAAACTAGATGTTCCATTCTCAGAACTTGTTTCTTCATCTAAGTATCATCTGTAATGTACACAAATGCTACTTCTGGGGGATATATTTCTTCAAACTTTGAGGCTAGCAGCAGCAGTGCCCACAAGCTGAAGCTTTCCTCTCAGCATAGACATTGAAGAGAAACCTATCAATGTAGCCAAACACAGGGTCTCATTCTGCAGTTTATATTCCTCTCCCACTTCAACTAACCAGTCCACGAGGATAGCCCTCATACTGTTAGTGATGTCTGGCTGTTTCTTCGTGTAACTCACTTTAGGTTTACACTTAACCTCCATCTCCCTAAGGTACATGTGAATATCCTCGTGGTAGTCTGGTACTTCATTAACACTCACTGGCTTTTCCTCTTCTAATACAATCGACATGTTCATAGTATGTGGTGAATCAAAACTACCGTCCATTGGATAATCAGGAGGTACCAGTGGTTTTCTTGGTCCCGGTAAAGCAACAGCTGTATTAAAAGCCAGGACATCTTCGCACTCCGTTTTTTAGATTCAGATGGCCTCTTCTGAGTGTCATCTTCTGCTTCATCCACAAGAATGGTGAATACAGGCTGTTTACTGTTTGCTTTCCAAGGTGATAGAGCAGCAAGCTCTCATCATTGACAGAAAGATCTTTACGAGGTGCATCCTGCCATATCTTGAGCCTCTGCGGCGGTGCTTAACAACGCGGGTTCCCTGCCTTCAGCACCGCCAGGCCCGCCTGAGCCCGAGGCTGCTGGGCAGGCGTCGCCTTCTCTGGGTTGATGTTTTCCTGATCCTCCTGTAGCCCCGCCTGCTGAAGTGTTAGCAGCGCCGAGCTCGCCCTGCGGGCCGCAGGCCTAGGCGAGGAGCTGCCCGACATAGCTGCTGGCGGGGTGGGGGGTGGGGGGCAGGCTGAAGGATCAGCCTGCGGCGCCAAGCAGCTTGCGCTCCGCCCAGCTACTGGTCAGTGGATCTCGCCGCGGAATGCTCCAGCCCGTGTCGCCACCACACCCCGAAGCCAGCCTGCCCGCTGTCCACTCACCGGACTCTGGCCCGTGCTGGATGGTGGAGGTCGCCAAGTATGGAGGTAGGCACAGCCCGGCCTACCAGGGAAATCTTCTTAACTGTCTTTTCTTTCTTGGTCTTGAACAATGTTGTTTCTGTGTTTCATATTAGACAGCACCTTCGATTTAGTTGTTCACACTAATAATTATGAATTGAAGTTGGATGCCATGGCCAGCCAGGCATGGTGTCACACTACTCTGTGATCGAGAACTCTGGGAGGCTCAGGCAAGAGACCAAAAATTTGAGTCCAGCCTGGGCAATTTAGTGACTCAGTGAGACCTTGTCTCAAAATGTAAAAAAATAAAAAAGTACTGAGGATGTATCTAAGTGCAAAGACCCTGGATTCAATCCCCACTTCTGAAAAAAAAATATATTTATATCATCATTTGCCCATAGTATGCCTTGAAGATACATTCCTTAAAAATTTTTTTTTAAAACCATGTGTGGTAGCAGACTCTGTAATCCCAGCACTCAGGAGGCTAAGGCAAGAGGATTGCTGAGAGTTCCAAGCCAGCCTGGGCTACATGCTAGACCCTAACTCAAAAAAAAAAAAAAGATTTGGTATGTTGTCCGGGCTGTTCATGAACTCCTGTTCCTCAAACAATCCTACTACTGTTATCACGTAGCTCCTTCTAAAAGTGTCTCGTCGGGCTTCACCGCCTGCTGCGCAAGTGGAAGGACCCGAGTTCGATCCCTGATACCAAACAAAACAAAAAAATAAAAAATAAAAGTGTCTCATCAAATAAATGTGCCTCTTTTGATGGAGTTAGAGGATGGAGGGTGGGGTATCTTGAGGAAAGCCATGATAGCAAGCTCTTCTTGCTGTCTGTGCCCCCCCCACACAGGGTCTCGCTTTGTAGCCCAGGAAACCCTCGAACTCTCAGCAAGCCTCCTGCCTCAACTTCCCAAGTGCTGGGATTATAGGCATGCACCACCATGCCTGGCATGTGTCCTTTTATTACTTTTTTTTTCTTTTTTGTACCGGGGATCGAACTCAGGACCTTCCGCTTTCGAGGCAGGTGGCGGCACCACTGACTGAGCTAAATCCCCAGCCCATGTGTCCTTTTATACTGTCCAAATCTCGAGGAAACCCATGAGAACTTCTATATATGGGTCCTGAGAGGTAGTGCTGGGATCCCATGCCTCAGGCTGAGGTCAGGTCCAGGCCATCCTATTGCAAACCTGCTCAAGTTCTCTGGAGAAGTCCTCTTGCAGGGCTTTGGGAATTGTTCTTTGCATGTGTTCTGGGATCTTGTAATTAACATGTCAGGCCCACTTGCCCAGCCAGCATTGCCATGCCCTAATCTCCTATATCAACTTGAAGCAGAGACAGTAGGCAAGAGCCCATGTGGAAGGGGTAGGGGATCAGATATAGTTCCCAAGATCATGACACTGCGTTCTACTCCCTTCAACCATGCCCCACCTCCAGCTTCTGTCACCTTCTAGTAACAGCATCAAATTACGATCTCATCAGTGCATTAATTCACTTCTGGAAGGTAGAGCTCTTAAGATCCAATCATTTTCCCCAAAACTCAGCAACAATCAAGTCTTCAACACAATGAACCTCTAGAGGGACATTTCAAATCCAAACCACAACACCAGTCCTGCTGGATTAAAGTCCACTCTCATGACCTCATTAACCATAACTACCTCTTTGAAGGATGTAGATATATATCTATATATACATCTATATCTATATCTATATCTATATATATATATTTCCCTTTTTCTTCTGCAGTATGAAGATGGAACCCAAACCCTTGTGCTTGTTGTGCATGCTAGGCAAGTACTCTACTACTGAATGACATCCCAGCTTTAAGGCTCTAGCTCAAGGAGAGTCACAGAGCTGAGGGCTTCAATATATGAATGCGGTGGGAACATAATGTTACCCAAAACACCATCTCCAAACGCATTTATTATAAACCAGTTACAAGATGGTTTGTTTGTGTTTGTTTTTTTGACACAGGGTCTCACTATGTAGTTCAGACTGGCCTTGAATTCACCATGTAGCCCAGGCTGGCTTCAAACTCACAGACATCCTCTGGTCTCTGTCTGAGTGCTGGGATTACAGGTGGGCACCACCACACCCAGCCACAAGATGGTATACTGTATGTACTTGTTCTCATTTCAGAACATGATTTATGTCTTCTGGAGAAATACATCTGTGGTATGAAAAAAACACACAAAAAATGACTGGACTTTTCTGGCCAGAGACTGCATAGTAGCTCAGTATCTTTGTATTGAAGATGGAACCCTAGGCCTTCGCACAGAGCTACATTCCCAGCCCTTTAAAATTTTTTTTATTGTTTGTTTTATTTTGAGACAGGGTCTTGCTAAGTAGTTTAGGCTGGCCTTGAACTCACTAAGTAGCCCAGGCTGGCCTCAAATTTGTGGCAATCCTCCTGCCTCAGCCTTCTGAGTGTTAGGATTACAGGCATGCACCACCACACCCAGTGTTATTATTTTAAATTTTTATTATTAGTACATATTTGCAGCATATAATGAATACATTCATTGTAGGGAGTTGGTACATGTACTTAACATATCTTAGTTCTTTTTTTTTCTCTTCCTATTCCTACCCCTCTGCCTCCCTCAATCTCTTCCAGCCTCTTTGAATTTTTTTTTTTAATTTGGTCTAAAGCTGGGTGTGGTGCCACATGCCTGGAATCCCAGCATTCAGGAGGCTGAGGCAGGAGGATCACTAAGAGTTTGAAGCCAGCTTGGGCTACCTAGTGAAACTGCCCCCCCCCCAAATGACAGGGTCTATGTCTAGTGGCACACTCTTGTAATCCCAGCATTCAGGAGGCTGAGGCAGGAGGATCACAAGTTGCAAGCTAACCTGGGTCTACATAGTTCAATGCCAGCCTGAAGTACAGACCAAGACCCTGTCTCAGGAATAAATAAATAAGGCAGCTGCTGGGCATGGTGTTGCACACCTATTTATAGTCCTAGCACTCAGGAGGCCTCTGAGGCAGGAGGATTGCCATAAATTCCAGGCTAGCCTGGGCTACCTAGTGAGTTCAAGGCCAGCCTGAACTACACAAGACCCTGTCTCTAAACAAATAGAGCCGGGTGTGGAGGCACATGCTATAATCCCAGCACTTGGATGTTGAAGCAGGAGGACTGCGAGAGTTTGAGACAGACAGTGAGATCCTGTCTCAAAAAAATAAATAAAAATAAACAAATAAGAAAGGCAGGGTCTAATTAAATGGCTAATTGCTGCTATTGGGCTCAAAATTTTAATTCTCCTGCCTAAACTTCCAAAGTGCTGGGACTACAGGCATGCCCTATCACACCCAATTTATTTTACAGCAGTTTTTTTCTTTTTTTGTGTGTCCAGTAGGGGAAGGGTTGAGACAGTTTTACTTTGTAGTACAGGCTGACCTTTAACTCACTGTGTTGCCCAGTTTGGCCTCAAACTTGTGGCAATCCTTGTACCTCAGCTTCCCAAGTGCTGGGATTACAGGAATGTGCCACCATGCCTGGTTTACAGTTTATTTCTATTTATTTATTCAAGCTGGAGGGATTGAGCCCAAAACTTCTGCACGTGGCTACATTTCTAGCCCCGCCCCCTTAAATATTGAGATAAGGTAAATTGCCCAGGCTGGGCTAGAACTTGTGCTCCTTATGCTGTAGCCTCCCGTTATGCTAGGATTACCAATGTCCACTAATGTTTGTGCTGTTTTTTAAGAGCTAAAACCTTTGTAATTGTTTTGTCAGAAATAAAATTAATAGAACTTTAGTACATTGTATCTGAAAACCACAGGAGGAGCCGGGTGTGGTGGCAGCATTCAGGAAGCTGAGGCAGCAGGATCACTTCTAGTTCGAGGCCAGCCTGGGCTACATAGTGAGTCCAGGGCCAACCTGAACTACAAAGGGAGACCCTGCCTCAAAAACAAAATCAATTGAGAATCTTACTAAAAGCAGCTTCTCTACTGTTCGAGCAATTAGAGACAAAGGAGAGAGAAACTAGACCTTGAGAGGAGCCTGGTAACATAATTAGCATAAGAATTTATCAGAAAGCTAACAAAGCAAGGAGGAAGCCAGCCCCCTCACTCATCTCTGATAAAATGCAAAGGAGACTCGAGGCAGCCACCTAAGGACTTTCATTTACTGTGTGAAACACATCTACACATAGATACCTGTATGTTCTTACTTTAGTATCACCATATTATTACACCAGATACACACATGTCCCTTTTAGTTAATCATTAACTCTAAGTTACTTTTCTATGAGCACCCCCCCCAAAATAACTCAAGTCTATGGAAGTGAAATAAGGCCCAATTAATAATGACTTGATCTAGGGGAAGGAAGGGAAGGGATAAAACTGGTTTCAAATTACCTTAGTTGGGGGAATTTCATTGACCTCAATCCACTTGAAATCCTTCCCCCTCCCCTTATAAAGCCTAAAAAGAGGGCCAGACATAGTTATAGTTGTGTATGCCTGTAATCCCAGCACTGGGGAGGCTGAGGCAGGAGGATTGTTAAGACTTCAAGGCCAGCCTGGGCTACATAATGAGACCCTGTCTCAAAAAAAAAGGGCCTGGGATTTAGCTCAGTGGTTTCACCGCCTGCTGCGGAAGCGCAAGGACCTGAGTTCGATCCCTGGTACCAAAAAAAAAAAAAAGCCTGAAAAGAAAAGTTTGGGAATTCAAATTTTAATGTTTCAGTAGCCTACTCAAATTAATGTGCAATTCCCTCTCCTCTGCCCAGGTCCCCTCCCTCCTCAATGCTAAATAAAAACACATGTGAAATAGGAGTCCCTTGCTGTTTTTTGAGGAAATTTGTGTCAGACCCGCCCTAAACCAACAGGAAAAAGCAAACTGGCTGCTTTTAGCAAACAACAGCAGCTTCTCTGTAAATAGGGCAAATGGACTCAAAAGGTAGAGAAGACTGAGAAGTCCAGTGATTGTCTACGCACCTGAGCAGACAGTCCTTGGGCATCCAAGTCATAAATATGTCACCCCAACCTTAGCCCCTTCAATACCTATATGAGCCTACCTCCTTTCCCAGTTAGTTGCTAATCTCTCTCTCTCTCTCTCTCTCTCTCTCTGTTAACCCATCACTCAGGGATAAAATCTCTTCCAGCTAGCTGCCACTTTCTCTCTCTAATGTCAGCCCATCTACACATGGATGTGATAAACTTGGCTTTTCCCAGCGATGCGCGGGCTGCAGGACCTGTCATATGGTGCAGCTGTTTCAAGCTGAAGTCCCGTTTCTTCACTCACAGCAGGAATGCGGAAGGGGTCTACGCACCCAAGGTCTGTAGGCTGCCAGCAGCACCAGCGCCAGCCGTGCCCATGTCTTGCCCCCGTCAGCTACCAGGGCCAGGGTGCCTACTTCGAGTCCCCATCACGCGCCGCCACCACCACTGCCCACCAGCGCCTTCTTCCTCTATTTTCTGCCTTTTAAAATGTATCATAGGGGCCGGGGATTTAGCTCAGTGGTTTCGCCACCTGCTGTGCAAGCTCAAGGACCTGAGTTCGAGTCCCTCCCCGTACCAAAAATAAATAAATAAATAAAATGTATCATAGCGGGCCGGGGATTTAACTCAGTGGTTCTGGTGCCTGCCTCGCAAGCGCAAGGTCCAGAGTTTGATCCCCGGTACCCCCCCCCCCAAAAAGTATCATGGCATATTTTCCTCACATCATGAGTCATTTTTGAAATGATTAAAATGGGTGAATTTACATGAGTAATGCATGTAAACTATAGAAAGAACATAAAACCAACAAGAAGGTAAAAATCACAATCTCAGCCATGCTTGGTGGTGCACGGCTGAATCTTAAATTCGAGCCAAGCCTGAGTTTGAGACCCTGTCTCAAAAAAAAATTTTTTTTTTGGTACCAGGGATTGAACTTGGGACCTTGCACTTGCAAGGCAGGCAGCAGAACCACTGAGCTAAATCCCTGGCCCCCCCAATTTTTTTTTTCTTTTTAAAAAATCATTTATTCACTAGTGCTTCAAACAGAATATAATGAGAAACAAAACAAGAATCTATTACATCCCTTTTAGGGATGGATGGAGATCATGCATCCAGATTAATGGAACAGAGATCTGGTATGTTCAAAACGACTTTTCCATTTCAAGAAAAATTTAAATTTCTGGTTTACTACATTATTTTATTTATTTATTTTTTTGGTACCAAGGATCAAACTCAGGACCTTGCGCTTTCGAGGCAGGCGCCAAAACCACTGAGCTAAATCCTGGGCCCCCACTACATTATTTTAAAAAGACAGTTGCAGACTGAAACCTTAATCTCTTAAAATAAATGTAATTTTAAATAAGCCACTAATTATAAAATTTAGGGAGAGATTTGAATGGTATTTGAAAAATTCTCATTGTCATAAACTTCCTTTTTACAAAAGATACTGCCAAATTTCAGTGTGTGAAGAATCCATTATTATTACTAGTATATCAGCCACTTTAGTTCTGGTTTTGAAGTTAGCTGTTTTTCCCACTGGTCATGTGAATTAGGCAACTCTTGTCTAAGTGGGACAGCAAATTGGCATGTCTGAATAATTGCTCTTAAAGGATCATTCAGTTATTACCTATTGTATTTTGAAAAAGTAAAAGAAGATGTCAATATGTTAAGCAGAGACACAGAAAAACCTGATTTCCCAGTATATAAAACATGGAAATAATTATTTATAAATAAAATTATTAGCTTTATTACACACCAAAAACTGTGTTAAATGTAAAAAAAAAGTATTATCTTCCTTTAAAATATCACTATAATGACAGACTATAGATTTATTCTGTTTTGTTTTTGTTTTCACATTTTAAGAGAATCTGTAGGTCATGCAAGGAAGATGGCACGGGCATGCACTTTATAAAGGAATGCAGATTTCAACAAACAGATGAGTAGGAAAATGTTAAAAATGTTAAGAAAAAAATTTCCCCCAAAGATTTAATTGACTTATTTAAATCTAAGTTACTCAT